TCCAGTGGCTGTGGGATCCTTTTAATGATTGCTTCGACCATTTCCATTAGTATTTTGTTGTTGTTCAGTCATTTCAGTCTTGTCTGACTCTTTGTGACCCCATTTGGGGTTTTCCTGGCAAAGATACTGGAGTGGTTTGCCATTGCCTTCTCCAGCTTATTTACAGATAAGGAAACTGAGGCCAAGAGGGTTAAGTGACTGGCTCAGGGTCACATAGCTAGGAAGTATCTGAAGTCAGATTTGAACTCGGGAAGGTGAGTCCTCCTCCTGAGTCCAAGGCCAGCGCTCTATCCACTGCACTACCTGGCTGCCCCACAGAGAAGAAGAATGAACAAATATGAGGTCATTTCTTCTGAGAGGGGAATTAAACCTAAGTTCCAAACTGCTGCTAGCAAGGGTAGCTTGCCAGGGAAAATGATACAAAAATGGGGTGGGGTGGGGAGAGAATCTATTCCCTTAGGAAATGTAACATCAAGTATGTTTACTTCTGCATACAGCATAAAAGAGAGGCATTAGACAAGACATCAGTATCTGATCATCTTTGTGGACCTCGGGTACTGTGGTATGGTAATTCCAGTCACTTGATCTCTGTGCTTAGATTACTGCCTAGTAGCCCAGTAATTTCTTTCCATTGAACCTCTCTAATGTCCAATGAATGATTAATGAGCTTTATTTTGCCCAGGAGTATTGTAACAAGTCTGAATATCTGAATATCCCCAGCAGAAAGAAGCAATGTTAGAGGAGAGGCGGGCATAATTCATTTCTGTATCCTCAGCAGTACAGCACAATTCATTCCAGAGAAGAAGTGCTAAATAAATGTTTGTTCAAGGAATGCATGCCTAAATAAGTGACTCCCTCTCTCATTTACTACCACTATGTCCTGGGGCAAGTCACTTAACCCCTCTGAGCCTCAGTTTCTTTACCTATAAAGTGAGAGGGTTGGACAAGATAGCTTCTAAGCAAGTATCTGATATTACATGTTTAACAACCAGCTCTCAGTGTGTGTGTGTGTGTGTGTGTGTGTGTGTGTGTGAGAGAATACATGACACTTTAAAGTTTAATCTATGTTACTAATATTTGCTCCATCGATTTCATGAGTCTAGACAATCACTTAAGCCACATTGTCATTGTTGATTCATCACCAGTGGATTTGCCTAGCAGTAGAATAGTGAAGACCAGAAGGGGAACAAATAGGAGAAAAGCAGCTTTGTGCAGCATAGATTGTTTCTGAAAGGACCACAGAGGGACATCAAGGCCTCCATTCCAGAGTTGTGAGCTGTGTAGACACGGGGTTTTGTCACTCATGGACCTCTCTGCCAGGTTTCTACAAACACATTCCTATTTTCTTACATGCATACTGCATGCATTAGAAACAAAGTGTGACCCAGGTTCATGGGCAGACTGGGTGTTTTGATTATTACTGCATTTCCTTATTGAGTACCCACAGTGTTATAATTATTCTCATTTTTAAAATGAATATTTCATATTTAATGGCTGATGGTGATGTGATGACTGATATAAATTTTTTTATTTTTAGTTTTCAACATTTTCTTCCACAAGATTTTGAATTCCAAATTTTCAGTCCATCTTGCCCCCCCCCACCCCAAGATGGCATGCATTCTGAATACCCCTTCCCCTAGTCTTCCCTCCCTTCTATCTCTCCCCCCTTCTCTTATCCCCTTCCCCTTCTATTTTACTGTAGGGCAGGATAGATTTCTATACCTCATTTCCTGTATTTCTTATTTCCCAGTTGTATGTGGAAACATTTTTTTTTAACATGAGTTTTTAAAACTTTGGGTTCCAAATTTTCTCCCTTCTTCCCACCCCACCCACCCTCATTGAAAAGGCAAGCAAGTCAATACAGGCCATACATGTGCAGTTATGCAAAACACTTCCATAGTAGACATGCTGTGACAAGCTAACTCTATTTCCCTTAATCCTATCCTGCCCCCCACTTATTCTATTCTTTCTTTTGACCCTGTCCCTCCTCAGAAGTACTTCCTTCTGATTACCCCTTTCCCAATCTGCCCTTCTCTCTATCATCCCCCTGCTCTCTTGTCCCCTTCCTCCCCTATTTTCCTGTAGGGTAAGACAGATTTCCATACCCAATTGAGTGTGTATGTTATTCCCTCCTTACGCCAAATCCTATGAGAATAAGATTCCCTCATTTCCTCTCACCTTCCCCTGTTTCCCCTCCACTGTAAGAACCTTTTCTTGTCTGTTTTGTGCAGATAATGTACCCCATTCTACCTCTCCCTTTCTCCTTCTCCTAGTATAATCCTCTCTCACCCTTAATTTTATTCTCCAGATATCACCCCTTCATCTTCAACTCACCCTGTGCCATCTATCTATCTATCTATCTATCTATCTATCTATCTATCTATCTATCTATCTATATACTACATATAATTTTTCCCCTCCCACTACCCTAATACTGACAAAGGTCTCATGAGTTATAAATATCATCTTTCCATGCAGGAATGTAAACAGTTCAGCTTAATAAGTCTCTTATGATTTCTCTTTCCTGTTTACCTCTTCATGTTCCACTTGAGTCTTGTATTTGAAAGTTAGTTTTTCTATTCAGCTCTGGTCTTTTCATCAAGAATGCTTGAAAGTCCTCTATTTCACTGAATGACCATTTTTTCCCCTGAAGGATTATACTCAGTTTTGCTGGGTAGGTGATTCTTGGTTGTAGTCCTATCTCCTTTGCCCTCCAGAATATTATATTCCATGCCCTGCGGTCCCTAATATAGAAGCTGCTAAATCTTGTGTTATCCTGATTGTGTTTCCACCATACTTGAATTGTTTCTTTCTGGCTGCTTGCAATATTTTCTCCTTGACCTGGGAACTCTGGAATTTGGCTACAATATTCCTAGGAGTTTTCCTTTGGGGTTCTCTTTCAGCGATCTCTTTCAATTTCTATTTTGCCCTGTGGTTCTAAAATATCAGGGCAGTTTTCCTTGATAATTTCTTGAAAGATGATGTCTAGGCTCTTTTTTTGATCATGGCTTTCAGATAGTCCAATAATTTTTAAATTCTCTCTCCTGGATCTATTTTCCAGGTCAGTTGTTTTTCCAATGAGATATTTCACATTGTTTTCTAATTTTTCATTCTTTTGGATTTGTTCTACTGTGTCTGATTTCTCATAAAGTCACTATCTTCCAATTGCTCTATTCTAATTTTTAAGGAAGTATTTTCTTCAGTAAGCTTTTGGACTTCCTTTTCCATTTGGCCAATTTTGCTTTTTAGGGCATTCTTCTCATTGGCTTTTTGGACCTCTTTTGCCATTTGGGTTAGGCTATTTTTTAAGGTGTTATTTTCTTCAGTATTTTTTGGGTCTCCTTTAGCAAGCTGTTGACTTGTTTTTCATGATTTTCTTGCATCACTCTCATTTCTCTTCCCAGTTTTTCCTCTGCTTCTCTTACTTGCTTCTCAAATCCTTTTGAGCTCTTCCAAGGCCTGGAACGGATTCATATTTTTTCGAGGTTTGGATGTGGAGCTTTGACTTTGTTGTCTTCTTCTGGTTGTATGTTTTGATCTTCTTTGTCACCAAAGTAAGATAATATAGTCTGACTCTTTTTGCGAGGTTTGCTCATGATCCCAGTCAACTACTTGAGTTTTAAACTCTTTGTTAAGATAAAAGTCTACTTCCAATGTGGAGAATGTACTGTCCCAAGCTTTGGGGGTTTGTATAGCTGTTTTCAAAGATACTTCTAGGGACCTGTAAATTTTCAGTTCTTCCAAGGTGGTATGATAGGGGTCAAGGTGTTTACTCTTTTCCTGGCCTGTGCTTTGGTCTTTGAGTGACCGGCCATAAGCAGTCTTTTCTCTCTTGGAACTGTGAGGAGGGTTTCCTCTCCACTGCCACTACAAGTTCCACCATGCCAGCACTCCTCTTCACCCCAGGGCCGCCACCCAGAACTGTGACCCAGATCCAAGCACGGGCAAAGCAAGAGATTCCTGCCTCAGCACTGGCAAAGAGATCCCTGCAGTCCTCCTCTGATCAGCCATTTGATTCCCCCTCAGTCTGTGGGCCGGAAGTTCAGGACACAGCCACTGACCCAGTGCCTATGCTCTGCACTCGTGCTCTGGAGCTGGCTCTGACCTAACTCCTCTCTCAGCACTGCAGAAACAGACTTTTCCCACTGACCTTCTAAATTGTCTTTGGTGTTCGTGGATTGAGGAGTCTGGAAACTGCCACAGCTGCCTGTGACTCATTCCTCTGAGGCCTGCTCCAGGGTCTCTGTGGCTTGCGCACCCACGCCAAACTGTGCTCTTCTCCCAGCCTGGCGTAATATACCTTTCCAATCAACTGTCCAAGCTGTCTTGGGCTGGAAATTTGTTTTATTCTGTCTTTTTGTGGGTTCTGCTGCTTTAGAATTTGTTTAGAGCCATTTTTATGGGTATTTGGAGAGGTTTGGGGGAGAGTTCAAGGAAGTCACTGCATTCATGCCGCCATCTTGGCTCTGCCCCCGTGATGACTGATTTTTGTGTAAACCGAAAGCATACTGGTGGGGGATTAGGAGATACAGGGATGAGTGGTGTCAAAATTTACCCCCTCCCACATCAGGTTTATCCATAGGACCCTGAAAAACTTGTTATGATCCCTTTGTGGAAAACCCACCTCTGTCAGGGTGGAGAAAAGTTGAGGGGTTAAGTAAGACAGCACAGAGAGCAAAAGTGGGGACCATATCTCATCTGGTCCTCACAATAACCATATGTGGTAGGTGTTGCAGGTAATGTGAATTAGTCACTATGTAGAAATTTATTTCACTATTATTTTATTGACAAATATATGGACTTTTCTGAGCAGAATTGATTATTATCATTGCAATTGTTTTCATGTGATTCTATATTAAAATGGTTGTTGAGTGAATGAATGGTAAGAGTCTCTATTATAATAGTATACATTATTATTTTTTTTTTGCTTTTGTTGTTGTTTTTTATGACACACATTATTTAACATTACTATGTATCGGTCTGTCTCTCTCAATTTCCAGTTTCCTCTATAAGGCTTCCTGGAAGAGAAAGTCGATCTAATGAGCCAGTTGCAACAAACTTGGGTCATGTAGCTGCTGAAATTTCTAATGCTTTACTGCCAATACTCCAGGATATTCCTTTTGCAATTTTGGTCACAGGTAAAGAAAGAAAAGAAAAAATGGTCTTTGTTACATCAAGGGTTTTGCCCTGTAAGACCAATGGGGACTAAAGAGCATGGCATGCTCTTTACCTTGTAGGGATTGTAGATAAAGAGCTGGAAAGAACCTCAGAGACCATGTAGACCATCTCTTCCTTTACAGATGAGGCCCAGGGAGGTAAAATGAATTGCCCAAGGTCACAAAGATAATGCCACAGGTGGAATTTGAACTTAGGTCCCCTGAGTAGGACCAGTGCTCTTTCCATTGTACCAAACTGCCTGTTCATCTGGACACCTGGAAGGTAAGGGTCCAGAAATCCTAATTGTATTCCCAAGTTCCATGTTTTTTTTCTTTGCTATTTTTTTTTGTGAGGCAATTGGGGTTAAGTGACTTGCTCAGGGTCATACAGCTAGTAAGTGTCAAGTGTCTGAGGCCAGATTTCAATTCAGGTCCTCCTGATTCCAAGGCAGGAGCTCTGAGCCACCACGTCTTCCATTTTTTAAAAAATTTATTTTGGTGAGGCAGAGTTAAGTGACTTGCCCTGAGTCACATAGTCAGGAAGTGTCAAGTATCTAAGGCTGGATTTGAACTTAGGTCCTCCTGATTCCAGAGCAGGTGCTCTATCCACTGTACCACCTAGTGGACCTGAGATACCATATTTTTAACTAGTTATTCACTTCTCAAATTTTCCTTTCGCTTCTGAATCCCTTGATTTAAATGGGCAACAGTGATTACCACTTACGTTTCTAAGGTCTTCAGTTTTTGATCCAAGATTTCATAATTGGTGCCAGAGTTCTTTAGAATCCTTTTGACAATTGTTTAAACATGTAATTGGCAGGAGTCGGGGGGGAGAATAAAATATTATATGAAAAATATCTTTTGGCAGTAACATTTATGCCTACATAAAATAAGATTGACACATACAATGATGTTCTGATTTAACAATTCCTGGCTTGGATACACGCCCCCAAAAGACAGTAGATTTTCCTATTGTCTTCTAGCTGACCAATGCCTACCTCAGTACTCCATCAGCGGGGAAACACTAGCCGCCGGGACTGCTTCTTGTTCCTCGGATTCTTACTGGATAATCTCTCATCTGATGTCCCCAGTGTAGCTACTTGCTCTTCAGGGCATCTCACTCTCTTCTCTTTGAGAAGAACCTCATATTTGTTTGGGTTCTTCTCTTTATCCTCTGTGGGTCATTCTTTCATCCTCCAATCTCATTACATAAATAAAAATCCCACTATACTTTTTCAGATTCCTTTTTCCTTCTTTCTCTCCACATTGACTCCCATCTTTTTTTAAAGAAACAATTCATTTTTCCTATTCTTGCTCCTGAAGGCTGGAGAAGTGTTCCTAGACCCTCTTTACCTTCACTTTTAGGAGGAAGACCAGTATAGATGGAAATCATTTAGACTCAGCAAAAATATAAACATTACACATTTTATGCTGATCCTTCTCTGTGTGGCTCCTTGCTAGCCTTGTTTTTGCAGAGGGCAGTACTCTCTAAATATAGGGTAAAGAATCAGGTACATCCTTGTGGGAAAAACTTGTTGAGAGACCATTTTCTTTCCATGTCCTTCTAGCCCTCTTTTTAACAGTATATTTTCACACAGTCCTTCATATTGTTGCCTCTCACTTTACCTGACTTTTTACCCCCATCTAGATTTAGCTGTCTTGTATGCTATCCCTGTGGTGCCATGCTCAGAGCAATCAATTAAGCTGCACCATTACTTAGCTGATCATGCAATGGCTTGACCCCATTAAAATTCATCCAGAGACCCAAATAATGACTCAACAGTTTACAAAGTGCTCTCCTCATGTCACTTCTGCCAGGTAGGTGAGACAGGTGGGCCACTGCCTTAGAGATCCATGCAAGTAATCCCAGGATTTAAATCTAGAGGGGTAACTTAGTGACCATGTGCTCCAATCCCCCCATTTTACAGATGGGGAAACTGAAGCCAGAGAGGAAAAGTGACTTTCCTTAGGTCCCATGACTAGCCAGTGACAAATAGGAGTAGAGTGACAGTTTCCTGGCTCCCGTTCTAATACAGCCAATCACCTGTTGGCAGTTTTAGAGCAAAAAGATTCTTTACATGTAGATTAGACTAGATGGCTGCTGAGGGCTCTCCTAGAATCCTGTGATCTTGTGACTCTTGTCCCTGTGAATAGGCAAAATCAGGCATACCCAAGCTATCTGATATTGATTTTGTCATAATGACTTGAAAGTGTTCTACAAGCATTGGTCTATTCATTTTCTATCAAGAAGAACAGGGTACCAGACTTGGCAAGTGAATAAGGGATTAGCAGAATTGACTGTCGATGGTGTTCTGTTATGTATTCTTAAGGAAGAAGAGGAGATTTCAAGTGCTTTCTAGAAGCTCTCAAAATCAGTATCCTTAAATTGCTTGCTGGTGTTTCCCCCCACATAACTCCTTCCTATGCTGCCTTTCACAAACATCGCAGATAGCCTTTTTATGCAAAAAGTAAAACTGTATTATAAAAGTAACTGGTAGGAACAGTGAATATGGCATGAAGGACAGCTTGCTGGGTTTGGAGTCAGGAGGATGCCAAGGCCCCCATCTCCTCTCTGATATTTACTAGGTATGTGACTTTGGACAAGTCATTCAACCTCTAAATGCCTCAAACAACTCCCCAGGATTTGCCTTGCAATTACCTATGGGAATTTCCACACAGAGAGTCTCTCTGTTGATGAGATGCCAAATCCTTTGCTAAGTCTCCTGCTGAAATAAGATAAGCCTAATTTCTTCTTATTATTTTCCTAGCTTGGAAAAACTACATTTATGGTACATTAAAAGTATGTTTGTTCTAAGTTGAGTTGGAATAGATCATCATTCATTTGGCCGTTTTTTCTCTTTTCCACACTTTGGCATGGGATCATATGTTGCTTTCCTGACAGCTCTACACTTAAAAGAAAATTACAAGTTACAGCCAATGCATTTTTTTGTGTCAAGTGCAAATCCTCCACATGTGAGTAATGTGATTTATTTTAGTGAAGGTTGGGGCAGAGATGGGGGGGAGGTATGATATTTATACTTTGATGGATCTGTAATCTCTTCCATGTGGATACTTTCTTCTCAAAGATACTGCTTTCAGCCCATCTTCTCTTTCTCATCTTGTGCTGTGCTTGACCATCTCCTCTCCCAATTGCTTCATGTACCTACTCAACAACCCTGAAGACTTTCCCCTAGGTCCTTTCATATTATATGGCTACCAATGGAGTCCTCTGGATGTCCATCTCTGTTCCATCCCTTCATTATGTCATTTGACTGCATTTGTTTTTTTTTCTAGAGGATAGGGGTGATGTTGGTATAGGGATTATCAAGGAGTCAGTCTCCTGGAGGAGCTAGGATGGAGTGGCGTCTGATCCCAGAACAGTCATCTGAGATTGGCTCTTTTTACAGTGATCTGCAGCAATCCTTGCTGAGCTAAAACTCTATAGTTAAAAGAATCCCATATAATTAAATTATTTTTTTCCGTAGATAATTAGAGCTCTGAAATGAAATCACCTATATGACATATTATAATAACTTTGTTTAATATTTTAAGGAAATCTGTTTGGATGCTCCATATCATTCTGGGATGTCAGAAGAGCAAGTGTTTAATATTATCATGACTATGGGTGGCATTCCCAAAGACATTCTTGAAAACAAAGAACTTTTGGAAATGTTTCTTCCTATTTTAAAAGCAGATATTCACATGATGTTCAATTTCACGTAAGTAAAAGAAAAAAGAAGAGGGAGGGAGGGAGGGAGGGAGAGAGAGAGAGAGAGAGAGAGAGAGAGAAGAGAGAGAGAGAGAGAGAGAGGGTTTATCCATCCTATCAACTAGGAGGTATGTAAGGTATATCTATGGTGGCTTTAGGAGGGCCAGATTTCTGCTGACCAGCATTTTGGACATCAGGATCTCACTCTGCTATTATCTGATAGACCTGAACCTAGGAAGAGCCACAGAACAAAGAGCTAGCATTGCTTACCTTAAACTTTGATTGGTAAAAGGCATCTTAAAAACTATCTCTTCCAAACCCTTTATTTTTACAAACAAGGAAAGTGAGGCACAGAGGTTAAGGAACATTCCCAAAGGCAATACCAAATGTAAGAGTAGAACCAGACCTTTTGGATTCCAGTTCAGAGCTTCTTCCCATTACCCTATGCAGCCTCTACTATTTCCAACCAATTGCCCAAGAGAGAATCAGGAGCTCCAATTAATATGTTCTGGGCCTACCCTAATTAACATGTGGCTACTTCAGTTTCTACCATTTTCCATTATCCTTCGAATGGAACAGGGTAAGTGAATAGAACAGAGCCAAAAGAACAACACATATGCACATTTCTTTATAAAAAATAATTATTAAAGCTATATAAATGAAAACCATTTTGAATAGTAAGAAAACTCATCAAATCGGATAATAAAAGCTTCTCAAGAGCAAGGATTGCTTCATTTGCTTCTTCTGTGCCTGGCACATAGTAGGTGCTTATAAAGCACATATGCATGCTTTCTCTTGTTCCCCTAGACTTCTCATTCCCCTAGATCCCTAGATTTCATCTTGGTAAATCATCTTGGTAAACTCACAGTCCCAGGGTCACACCACTAATATGTGTCAGAGGCAGGCTTGATGCCAGGTTTTCTTGCCCAGGATTGGCCTTCTATCAGTTACACCACACTGACTCTTTTAACAGTCGACAACCAAAGTGTAGGGTTGATTACCTGTACCATCAGTTGTAATCACTCATAGGTAGTGTTACCGAACTGGCATCAAAGATTATTTGGTGGGAGGGATATAGTGGTGAATACTCGGAGTTTTTACATGATGTGTTAAAACAAAATTTGTCATTAAAAAGAAATTTTAAAAAATAAATGTAACAAGGTATAGTAGGATATGTTTATCTAATCTGGTTACCAACAGCAAAATTCTCCACAGCAAGAGAGTGTGATTTCATCTCCTTTTTGTGTTTTGCCCACATACCTGCCTCATAGCTTAGTGGCATCTTGCCATTTATTTGTCCTGCAAAATATCCTTAATAAGCATTCTTTATGTTTATTTTCTAAGTGAACTGAAGTCCCACCTACTTCATGAAGCTTCCTCGATTAAAATAGGCAGCCCCTATTCTGACTTCCTATAGTTTGTTGTGTGTAAACAACACATTTTGGTATTTAATCATCATAATAATGTAATTTTTCCCAGGTTGGGGTGAATTTTTCTCTCCCTAATGAAGAGTTTAAGCTCTCTGAAGGTGGGGATGCCTTATGTTCCTCTTATATCCCCCATAGCATCTACTACTTATATCCTCTCAGCATCTACTAAGCTTGTCATGAATTGAACTGATTGGACCCCAAAGAGCCAATGAGACAGGTTGAGCTAAATCTAGCTTTGGCTCAGGACTACTGCTGACCTCTTTTGGATGCAGGTGATATGGAGACATCAGTGTGGCAATGACTAATAAAAAGAGGCATGTCATGTACCTCTGGAAACTGGATCATACTCATTATCTGTAGATGGGTTTGCATGAATTTTTGTATCTGATTTTTTGTTTCTTAATATGTGTTGCATTTACTACTTGTGCTCATGAGCTTGTGCCTTAGATTGTGGAATAGCTTAGTTCAGCGTGCACTGTGCTACCTGAACTCAGGATCGGATGGCAATTGATTCGAATTGTACCTACCAGTAACCCCAAATGGTGGTACCTGATTCTGTAGAAAGAGCATTGGAAGGAGGCTTGTTGCATTGTTGCATTTGTTTTTTAATCTGTTAAAAGACTATTAATAAAAACCCTCTTTCTAACAAAATAAAAAAAAGAGGCATGTCACAGCCATGAAAGTTTCACATTTGACCTCCAACCTCTGAATTGTATACTTTATGGACAGACTACAGTTACCTTACTGCAGCTTCCAGATTCATGAAAGAGGCCCAGAACCAAGACCAAGGTGGATTCATAGTCAGTCAAGGGTCTGGAACTCTTTAAACTAGTACTACCTAAATCTATCATGAGTAAAATCTCATCCTCTACCCAGTGAAAACATTTTCATTAAGTACTTAGCACAGTGCCTGGCACATAGTAGGCACTTAATAAATGTTGATTGATATTTGCTAATTTCACAGGAAGAATGTAGCAGGAGAGAAGAAAGGAGGCAACTCATTTGAGCATCATGACTCTAACAACAAAGAGAGATTATGAAATCTTGAATATTTAGGGAAAATGAAACTGTTTTTTCTGTTCACAGCTATGTAAAAACATCAAAGACTCTTCTTTCTTGTGATATTACATGTTTTTCTGGGACTGAAGATACAGCAAAAAAAACAGAAGGTGAAGTATTCTTGATGGCTTCTTTTGTATTTAGCTAAATGTTGCCTCACAGATCTGCCCATGGACAGAAGTCAACCAGATATTGTTCAATTTAAATAGTGAGGATTCAAGGTGCCTGCAAAATGAGCCTATTGTATCAATAGGTCTTCAAGTAGGTAAAGGGACAAGATACATGTAACAAGAGATAATTCGTGTAAGCCTACCCCATAGCGAGGAATCTTTTACTTCAGTAGGTCTGTCGGTTCATTATGTGGACATTCCCTCCAATGATGCAGGTCATTTTGGTCCATGTGCTCCTGCCCGGACACTGGTGCATGTCCTCAAATAAATTTGCCATATCATCTACCTGATGTTCTGAGGGAGTGTGGGGTTCCTTGCATTACCCCAACTTTGCAAGTATACCAGAAGAGCACTCAAGGCTGTCCAGAGAGATCTTAGGGTAATAATATATGGGAGTAAGAAATGCCTTTTGGGGTATTGCTAAAAGTCTGTATTGTTTTATTTATTTCTTAGGCTGGAAGGACCTAACCAGTGGGAGTGTTGAAAATCACAAGTTTCCTGGAAATCGCTTTTATCTCACTAACCCTTCTAATGAGACTTTCATCATAAACTACATAACCAAATGCCTTGAAATGTCATGCTTTGCCTAAGGCTCAGAGTTTTGATTGTTGGTTGTGGGTAAATTACATATCCTTTCCATAGTAATCTAAGGCAGTCAAAGTGATTGTATATTTTTAGTTCATTTTAGTCTTATGAAAAGATTAAAAGCTATGCTTAAAAAAACCTATCAGGGTGACTTGTTAAATCTAAATATCCTTCTTGCCATATGCCATAATAAACCTGGACCCTTCCAAACAAGTGAATAATGTACTAGACAGTCAAATTGTGTTGTTTATATTAGGATCATTCAGTTTTTCATTGATAAAGCATATGCATACTTTCCCCATTATTTTAGCTGTGGAAATAATGTTGAAGAAATAAAAAGAAATTATCCATATTTCCATCAACACACAAATTCACAAAGCATCTATGATTTCATCCCTACGAGGAATTCTTGGTATGAGAACGTTCTCCACAAACAGATAAAAACAGTTCATGTCTAAGGCCCAGGGGCTTTTCTGAAGCACATAGTGTTAAGTGACTTGCCTATGGTCACATGGCTAGTGTCAGAGGTGAAATGAAAACCCAGGTCTTCTTACCTTGAAGTCCAACACTATCTATACCACACCAGGCTACTTTTCAACCATTAACATATTCAGGATCAACTTTTCTATAGCCCTCTCCTTCTTTTACAGTGGAGCAGGGTAAAAGTGAGAAGAAGGAAAATATATTTACATTCAAGTGTCTTACTTAAGTATAATGTAGCCTATAGAACACTGTTCAGCATAGAGATTATGAAAATTATTTATTAAATTAGGTTGAAATGTTGATTTGCTTATTAGAGGAGGATTTATAGTAGTTTAATCAGATGTTTTTGTTTGAAAAGAATTGCTATTACATTCACTGGGATTAACTTAAAACTAATGAAAATACAAATAAAATGAGTCAGATTTTTATTTCTATTTCCAAATACTATACAACTATGTTACAAAACTCATTGTAATGCTTTTTGGCTTTGAGTCTGAGCTTGGTTTTGAATTTTGGTACTATGGGCTAAAATAAACTACAAATTATGTGGAATTTCAAGTGTGTGTTATTAAAATTGATGTTGTTGGAGAACTTCCCTCAATAATAGAGCCCAAACAAAGATAAACATCTTTTGCCTAATATCTTGCAGTCAGTACATGCCATAATACAATGTAGCAGATATCATGAAGAAAGTTCTTTGATGGACCCTGTCTTCCTCTTGATCAAACAAACTCTTTTTTCATTGAATCTCAGTCCTTCCAAGGATATTAGACAGGTAGGCCTAGAGCAAGGGTTCTTCTTCTTGTTCTTCTTTTTTTTAATAATATTTTATTTTCCCACCAATTACATGTAAAGACAATTTTTAACACTCATTAAAAATGTTTTTGAGTTCCAAGTTTTCTCTCTTTCCTTTACCTCTCCCCTCCCTGAGACAGGAAGCAATTTAATATGTTATACATATTCAATCATGCAAAACGTATTACCATTTTAGTCATGTTGTGAAAGAAGACAGAGACCCTAAAGAGGGGAAAAAACATGAAAAAATACATAAAGTGAAAAATAGCATGCTTTAATCTACATTCAGACTCCATCATTTCTTTCTCTAGAGGTGGAGAGCATTTTTCATCCTGAGACTTTTTGAATTGTCTTGGATAATTGTATTGCTGAAAATAGCTAAGTCATTCCCAATTGATTATCATACAAAATTGCTGTTACCATGTACATTGTTCTGGTTCTGCTCATTTCACTTTGCCTCAGTTCATACAAGTCTTTCCCAGTTTTTCTGAAATCAGCCTAGAGCAAGAGTTCTTAATCTTTTTTTATACTATAGAGTCCTTTGACAGTTCGGTGAAGCCTCGGAGCAATGCATTTAAATGCATAAAATAAAATATGTAATAATGCAAAGGAAACTAATTATATCAACATTCAGCACACAAAATGCAATACAAATTATATGTGTGTGTTTGTGTGTGTATTTAAGCCAAGTTTATTGTCATAGAGGATCCTGGGAGGCCTGGTCATTGCTGATCATAGAATTTCAGAACAGCAGTCATCTAGTCCAACCTATGCCCGCCCAAAAAATAATCCCCACAATAGATCCAACACTTTTGTGTGAAGACTTTCAGTGAGGGTAAACCTCTAACCTCCTAAGTCTGGCCTTTCTACTTTTAGATCACTTTAATTGTAAGGAAAATTTTCTCACATTATGTCTAAATTTTTCTTTTTCCAACTTCTATCCATTGCTGCTAGTTCCATCCTCTGGAGCCAACTAGAAAAAGTTTAATCCTTTTCCCTATGGCAGACATTCAAATATTTACTAGACTCAAAGTCAGGAATACCTGGGTTGAAATTCCACCCCAGACACTAAGTAGTTGTGTGACCCTGGGGAGACAATGTCATCTTTCTAGTCCTCATTTCTTGTCCTTGTTCTCATTTCCTCAGTAAGAAAGTTGGGCTTTGTGGCTTATAAGATCACCCCTTGTAGCTCTAAATCTGTAATTCTGCATCCACCCCAAATTATTTCCTCTCTAGACTAAATGTTCCCAGTTCCTTCAAGAGATCCTCATGTGTCACTGACTCAAGGCCCTTTGCCATCCCTGGTTGCCTTTTTTTAGCTACCCCCCACTTCTGAATGTCCTTTTACAGAATTGAACAGATATCATCTAATTGGGGTGCAATACAGTGGAACTATCACCTCTTTATTCTGAAAGCTCCTTCTTCCACTTGCAGCCTTAAATTTCATTTCATCTGCTTATTAGTAGAACTGTCTTATTATGAATTATTTTTATTGTGGAAGCACCACCTGGATTTACTTTAAAATAAGAGTATATAAGTATCAGTGTCATGTTTTCAGACCAGATAAGCATGAAGCTATGTTCTCATTCAACAAACCAATCTTTTATTTTTTCTTTAAAAAAAGCCACAAATTTCTGTATAGTTAAAGAAGGTAAAAATTTAAGTTTCTTCTGCATACTACAATTCAATATTTCAACTCATATTAAGGAGTGAGGTTAAACATAAAGAGTTAATATTACCTTTTCCTTTAAGTGTTAATTTATTTTACATCATAAGACAGTTTCATAATGAAAAAGAACTCCAGCAAACATTGTTCTAGATCCCATATTTTTCCATCAGCTCTTTTGCTTTAGAAATATAGGCACTCATGGCATCTTCCTTTGACAGACCTGAAAAGGAAAAAAAACAGATTACCTTTGCTAATCTTCTGGTATACCAAACAAAGTGTGTTATCCAGTTTAATAATTAAACACCTTTTTGGAGGTTCCATGCTTCCCACTTGGCTTTGCCCTTTAAGTCTAGCATTCCTGGACACTCTACCAAAAGAAACACAGATTTGTTTAAATTTACATTTTTATTAAATGGCATTATAACTGTTGTTTAAAATCTCAAACACTTCCCAATAAAGAAATGTGTAGGTACCATACCGATGTCAATGTCTCCAACAATCGATTGTTTGTAGAGACCGTAGAGTTCTTTGAGCTCTTCATCATTTGGCCTGGTTTTTAGTTTCCTAACATCTTCAGCAGCATTATGAAAGTCATTCTGAAAAGGGAGGGGGAAGAAAGTCACATAGTGGTACATTCTCTCCCTCTAGGCAGAGAGCATGGCATCATTTGCTTGAGCCTACTGCCAAGGAGTTATGAGGAGACATTGGACTCGAGGAAAATGGATCCAAACACTTAACTGGCTCTTTAATTAAACTCTAATGTATCAATGTAAGGAAATATTTTATCTAATTTCTACTTAATTATGTAACTGATTCTATCTGCTTTGCAAACCTTATGGTGCCATATAAAGCATATTATTATTATTCCTTATAGAAACAGAAAAATGAATAGATAAGTGATACTAAGCCCCTCTGCTGCTAAGGGCTGGGCCAAATTAAGAAAAAGTGTAACCTTCAAGGAAACCTAGTTATAGGCATTGGTCTTCTTCTTCCTTTCTTCACCCCTCTTTCCCATTCCCCCCTCCACTTTGGAGTCAACTGTCTTGCACGGTTGTCTACCTCCTCAACAGCAGCCTTTTCCTCTCCTTTTCCTAGCTTCCCTTTCTGTGTTGTCTTCTCCCATTAGAATGTGAGTGAAGATAGGACCTAGCTTGTTTCCTTGTCTTCATATCCCTAGCACTTTGTATTGTGCATAAACAGAACTGTGCACCATTCCTGGCACATAGTAAGAACTTAATAAATGCTCTTTCTGTCTTTCTGTCTGTTGTGGAAAGAACAATGGACTGACTGGGAATTGGGAGAGACTTGATCTTGAATCCTGACTCTAAAAGTAACTAGTTGGCTAATTATTTGACTAAGACATGTATCTTCTCTGAGCCTTCATTTCCTCATCTGTAAAAGAATAATAATACTTGCAATTCAGGGTTATTATGAGGAAAGCATTTTGCAAATCTTAAAGCACACATAAATGATAATAACTATTTAATTATTAGAGTATAATTTACTATTTTATCATTTATTATATTATATAATATATAATTATTGCCCAGATAATTTTTCCCTTCCTTATTTCCTTTACAAAAGGAATTTAGGTATCTCTTACAAGCTTATGAGTTAGATATACGTTATTGGTACAATATATTCTTTCACAAAGACAGAGATAGAATGAAATTATTTTCATTAGATCCATATTTATTTAGCACTGATTGTTCACTCTTATCTTCTATGTCCTATTATCTTCTTGAAAGTAAATTCTGGTGCCCTCATTTGAAAGTTTGTTTTATTAAAAGAACACTAAGAAATGTTTGAATTCTCTTTGCTGCAGTCTTAAAAGCAAGAAACCAAAAAAAGGGAAGACCATTCAATACAAAGTTGTAGCCCCTCAATACAATCAGCTACTCTTTGTAAATAATGAGGTTACTCTGAGTACAAAACTTTAAGTGTTGTAAGTGGGGAAATTATTATAATGTCCTAAACCAGTAAAATTTCCCATAATCAAATTAACAAATATCTCCTTGGCAGCCTGCAATTTTCCTAGGACCATTCTACATAAGTGAA